TGAACACTTCACTTGTTAACTAAGCTGTTACTTACTTTTGAGCAAAAGTGAAATCAATTATATTTTTATTAGTATAACTTATTATTAAAGCGAGACACTATAATCTCTACCCATAAACTCCTCTAATATACCAATACTCAACCATTTACTTACGATAAAGTTACAAAAGATTTTAAATTTGAATTATATAATATTAACTATTAAAAATAATTATTTCTTATTATGAGATTGAAAATCAACAAAAAGTTTTTTTCGCAATATCTTAATAATATTAAATAAATTGATGCATGCCAATAAGATTGAGGGCTCAAAATAACTTGATGGAAATTAATGTGAGGGAGAATTGTGAGATAAAACTGAGGGTAAATAATTTTTTATACCCAAATGTTTCAATATAATCATATACATTCTTCAAATCTTACCAACTCAAAACCTTAACCATTATGTTTTATTTTTTTTTGAACAGCAACCTTAACCATTATGTAAAAGAACAGTAGCAGAGTTGTTCTCCTTAAGTATACACCTATAACTACTTTCTTTACATGCTTCTTGTTATCTAAAAGCAAGAGGTAGCAGGATAAAAATAGGACGTTACTGAACTTCACTTGCTTAGCTTGGAATAGGATGCATTTTTATGTCCTTCATGCCACAAAATCTGGCAACAACTGCGCTGCAAACCTCTTCCTGTTCTGCATCTCAATATTCTGGTAACCTGCGCCGGAATGAGACGCCGATGCCGTGTTTATCCCACAGAAATCAGACTCTCCCGTCCCTAACTCCAGTCGTCTTTCTAACTGAATGTTGTGGTGGTCGGAAAGGAAGTTTTGTTGGCTCCCAGAGAAATGGGGGAGACCGAGCGTGAGAGAAACGCCATTGCCATGAAACCTGGGCAGCCCCAGCTGCTGCTCTGGATTAAACCTTCCCATCTGGTCTTCAATCGGGTACGGACCAAACCCAGCACCGTGGTTGGCGTTATTAGTTATTAGTCTTTCATCCCCTTGTAATTTCATGTCCATGTCCATTGAGAGGATGCTGCTAGGAGGATTCTGCATGTCAGTGCTCCTTGGTTTCTTTGGACTTCTGTGAGCAATTCCTTCCATGTCCATGTCCGGCGCTCCGATCAGATTGAAGCTAGTAGTTCGTGGCTCAAAAGATCCACCCATTCCTGTAGTGGATATTGTTGAAGCGTTGGAAAAATCAATCAGGCAGCTAGTGTTCGGGTTGGGGGGTTTATTCTCGGGTTTTGGTTGGGTTTTAGTTTGTTCCATTTTAAGAGAAGCCCTCTCTTCCATGGAACCAGACTCATTATGTTCATTTTTGCTTGAACCCTCCTCATTGCCATTTTTCTCATGTTCCTTCATTTCCTCCATGTACATTTCTTCAACCATTGGCTTCCAAAGGCGAACTCGAGCATTTATAAACCAGTTAGACACCTGCATTCCCCGTTCAATTAAATACAAGGATATTAAACTATGAAAAATAATTAATACACATTTAGTTTAACATATTTTTTTGACACTTATCTAATTCAACTATTAAAAATATAATATAAGTATAATTAATTCAATTAACTTTTACATACATAATTGGCATCTTTAAATTTATCTGTTTTTAATTTTAGATTAGAAAATTATGATTTTTTAAAAAGTGTGTTATGTAGTGTATTGATAAGAATGTATATCAATTATAGTCCTTAAACTATATATTATGTGATCTTAAACTAAACAACAATTTATTTCTTGATGTAGTGTCCTTTAAGGCTAACTTTTGAAAGGGGCTAGCTTTTCTTTATGATAGAAATTGAAGTTAAGCCAAATGTAATTCTTATATTTCATTGTTAAAATTTTATATAATTATTTTAGATGAATTTATGATTCAGAAGATTTGTAAAAACTCTATTAAAAAATCATTTGTACAAAAGCTACAATGAAGCCAAACAAGCTCATACCATCTTAACATTTTGATTTTTCGTGTTTGAACCCTCATAATATCTATATCTTCTTCATTTCACACTTAATTGTAACATATGAGGAAGAAAAATATTTGAAGGGAGAATGAATATACGTACCTGGCTCCTAGTAAGGCCTGTTTGTTTAGCAAGCATGTGTTTGTCTGAATCCTTGGGATAACTGCATTAATTAGTTTATCAAACATTAGTTTACCTAGATTTTGTGAGCTGTTAAAAAACAATTACTTACGGGTGAAGGAAGTGTTCGAAAAGCCAAGCACGAAGAACAGAAACAGCTCTTTCAGGCAACCCTCTCTGCGGCCTCCAAACATTATGCTGGATCATTCCTAGCTGTTGCAATGCCTTCTGTTGCCGAAACTGATGATCAACGTATCTTAATCTCGAACCTTCAACCTTTGCTCCCAAGCAATCTTCTTCCCCAAGACTCTTGCTTGTAGCTTTAATTTGTGCAGATATTACATCTTTCAGACTGCGGAATTGTTTCGAGATTGTCTGCAGAGCAAGTGCAGTGTACGATTTTGCCGAACCAATTCCTGTCGCCTGCTCGAAAGTAGACACTACAGCCTGCATCTGGTGGTGGTACTGTCTGTACCTTTGCTCCACCTTCAAATTATGTTTATAACAGAGAAAAACACAAAAATAAGTCTATACAAAATTTGTCCCATGTCACATAATTATGAAATTATATACCTAGACATTTATATTCATATATATATATTGATGCTTTTGCTTTTAAAATTTTAGAGAAATAATTAATTAATTAATTAAAGTTATATATAATTCTGCTTAATTACCTCATCAAGCATATTAACAAGTTTTGCCTTCTTTGTTTGCAGTTCCTGTTTCTGCGCGGTGTTTAGTTCTACCGGACGCTTACTGCCATCTTCACTGCCAACAACACTGGATCCCTCTACCGTCACAGCCACCACCACAGATTCTTTGTTCATCTTTATCTTCTCCTTGGTCCCCTCCGCCATGTCAGTCTTTATCCCCTTCTCCACATTAACAACTTCATCAAGAAGCTCTTGGGCAGCCCTCAAGTACTTTGATCCCAACACCATGCTTTGCATCCCGTAAACCCCACTGGACACCGCAGAAGCCGACGATGGCGAATGACGAGACTGCCCCTGACCTTGAAACTCCGGCTCCACATTCCTGTGAGGTCCCTGTTGGGAGGACAGGCTCAGCGACAGACCCTGCCTCGTCGGTGACACCACCGGACGCCGAAGTCCTAGATGAGACGAGACATCGTGGGCCCCACCAGAACTGCCTGCCGACACAATTTGCTGTTGGTGGCCTGATGAGTTATGGTCCATGTTTGATCCCCATATGTTGTAGTGGACGCTGGGGAGCATTCCTTCTGAATTGGGTGGTCCGATGGCGACGGTGGGTGTCGGTAGTGGAAGGCCAAGGATGTGGTGGTTGGACGAAGGCGCGTGAGGTAGGTTTACCGGGTTAAGCGCGTTGCCGGCAGGGTTTAGAAAGAGCATGTTGGCTGCAGCAGCAGGAGGTGGATGCTGTGTGTCAGAGTACGGTACGTAGCTGGGGTTCATGAGATACAGAGTCTGCATCGCATCAGAAGCTGCTTGGAATTCTGAACCCCCATGAAAATACGTCACCATCTTCTTCTTGATCTCGAACCCCCCCACCCCAAAAAAATGTTTATGTATGAAATAAAACTACTAATTCTTCGAAAACTTGATGGAGTGGGTAGTGTTCATCTCATTTTTCTACTGAATCCAACATGATTAAATAAAGATCATATGGATAACCTGCAATAATAAAAAGAAAAAGAAAAACGATGAATAATTAGGAGATCAAGAAGAGGGGAAAGGTATAAACTGTGATGGGAGAGTTGTTTATATAGGGAGGAGGAGAAAGGATGCACATCAAAGAAAAGACGATGATGGGCTGAATAAAAAAAAAAAAAAAAGGAAAGAAACACTACGTACATCAAAGGATTGATGCTGCAGAGATGGACATGATAACATCCAATTATGGTTTAAAAACAGACAAGAGGAGATCGATGAGGCTGCATCTGAGGAGCTATCATGGAAGAAATCTGTTTAGGTTTTTAGGCTTTGGTTTTGTGATGGTGATCTTGACAGACTCAGTTTCATCTTTGCTTTGTTCAAGAGAGAAGTAATATAGGCACCTCAAAAAGTCTCAAGTTTAAACTTAAAAAAAAATAATAATAAAAAAAATAAAAAAATTTATGCCATATGCCACTCAGCTTATAATTAAGATAAGACAGTGATGTATATAAAGTTAATTTTTTAATGTAATTTTTACATATATATTATTAAATAAATAAATATATTAATATTATAAATTTTAAATAAATAAAAAATTAATTATTTAAATAATACATAAAATTATTTTAAAATAATAAAAATTGTTTTTAAATTATTTTTCATTAAAATATAGGCTCTTGGAGTGTGTCCTTTCGATGGGAATATAATACGAAAATAAGTGGCTGTTGCATAAAAATTGTTTTTGCTTTTTAAAACCTCCTTTTTATATTTTTATCTTATCTTCGTACTGTTGTGTGTTAGGTACTCTTGCAGTGGATAAAAAAAGAAGAAGAAAATTCCAGTCACTTGACAAGTGAACTCCTTTTTCATTTGATTTGATGAAGGAATGTTTTAGAAGTAACTTCTAGCATATAATAAAGTGATGTATGAGAGAAAAATACTATATATGTATTTTTTTTTTTATTAAAAAGAAGTGATGCAA